TTTTTTCTTTTTTTTTTTTCTTTTCTTATAGTAAATCCCCTGTAAATAAATAATTGCAAATGGAAGGTGAAATTTTAAAAAAATATTTTACATGAAAAAAAGAAACAGCCATTTCCCTCAAAATGTTGCCAGTAATATAGATACTGTGAGCTCAATTTCATGGCTTTCTTTATTACTCTTAAGCAAATATAGGAAGAGCAATTCTTTTAATTACATAATTAGGCTTTATTCAGGTTATGTGGCTTTGGCTCATTTCTTTCAAATCAGGGAGAAGATAGAAAATGGAAAATATGACTATTAGGTTAATAATACCGTATTAACTAAAACATGTCTTGCCTCCCTTTTCTGAATTGCCACAGCAGACTTGAAGGGCAGAATTAAAGCAAATCTGCTTTAATAGCAATTAATCTTGTGTGTGTGTGTGTGTGTGTGCACTTGTATCATATCATATAATCATATGTGTATGTATGTGCAGTGTGTGTGTGTGTGTGTGTGTGTGTGTGTGTGTGTGTCAAATCAGTTGCTGTATAACTGGAGTTATAACATGTATGCTTGCTTGAAAAGCCTTTTCTGAATGCACATTAGTCCTTTGCAGAGATTGCCAAGTAGAATTTGTAACAGAGTTTTTGCATTGATCTAGAAACAACTGTTGTGATACAATGCATGTAAAGGAAACTTTAAGAGAAATATAACTCTATCAAAGACAATTAAAAACAGCAAGGTTTTATCTACCTGATTCAATTTATGCTACTGTGTTGACTGCTGTTATAGGGTATAGGGAACCTTGGTTATGCAGGGTGCAGCCTTTATGAAATAGGATTATTTGTACTGCAGTTTGACACTAAAACTCAGTATAATGGCTTTAATTTTGATGTAGGTAAAAAGGTAAAGCCCAAATTACTTAATTCCTGGTGAGTACATTAACACATTCAATTTTTTTGGTAACAATATAGAAGTGATTTACCACTGTCTTTTTCCCCCAGTCCTGTAGCCTTTCCCCCATTTTCCTAGCTTGTGAGCACAGTTAGGCTGGATCATATCAAGTGATAAAGAAAGGTTACCTTCCTAATTGTCTAAGACTGACTAGAACTGCTTAAGGCACAGGACTGGGCTTAATGAAAAAGGTGGCATCCAAACATGGGGGGGGAGCACTGGGCAATAGAAATTCTTGGGGGATTTCTTATCATGGCCCCTATCTAATGGTGAGTTGTATTCAGTTTAGCACATCATTGGGATGGACTATTTTGTCATAAAGACTAGACAACTGGTAAGTCAGTACACACAAGTCTGTTTCTCTCATACAACTCTGATTACTAATTGAAAGAAGCAAATGGGTGGGTGCTGGACAAATGAGATCCCTATTCTTTTCAATGGAAATTAGTTTGAAACTACTGTAAATCCTATTTTTCTGAAATTCCATGTTTTTAAATCAATTCATTTTGCATTAGCATTTTGTTTATTTTTGTTTACCTCTTCTACAACTACATGTTATTTTTTTAATTAAACTTATAGATATTTATAGATATTAGGAAGGATGGTAAGGTGACCACTCTTCTATTGTCAGAAAAAGAGTACAAGATAGGGCATGTGTATTTACTCATTTGTATATATAGCTATTGATTTATAAATAATTGCTCCAGTAGTAACAGAAATTATCTCATTATAACAAAAAAGAAGGCTGTGATCAGGAGTCTCACAAATAGACAGGTGTTCACTCGATGTGAAATTTAGTCTGTGCTTCACCTGTTTTAGAAATCTTTAAACTAGGTTTGTATAGACAATCCTTCAGATATATATCTATAACAACAATTGGCTATCCATTAAATGATGCTGGGTTAGTGAGTTATAGCCAATTGTCATGACTCTGTCTCCCTTGCCTTGGAGAAACAGCAGGAGATAGAAGTGATAGATTTTCCCTTTAGCGGAAAACATCTTTCACCTTAATTGAGAGGTATAAACTTACAGTGAAATTGAAAGATCTCAGGACGGTAACATCCTATCAGGAAGCTCAGCGTACAGTAATTTACCAGAAGGTCGACTGCAGCTTCCTCTCGCTACAAAACAAATTATTATGCTGCAACTATAGAGGCCCACCTGCTTTTTACCATTAAATCCATGAGCTTTGCTTTGCTAGAAAATAAAAGCTAAAGTAAGGAAGAGAATTACCTGGACGGAACTGCTTCACCACAACAAAGCATTGCCGAGAAATATTGAAGATAAGAATGGACACACTAACAATAGGAAAGAAAAAAACCACAAGATCACAAGTTAATGAAATAACGTACCATACTGGAAGTAATGAAATTTCATTGGTTCAGAGCTAGATTTTAAAAGGTAAGTATATGAGTTAACAGGCATCACTTTTAAATGATAGTTGCAAAAGTGAAGAAGCTACAGTATTTTTCATTAAAAGAGATGTCTAAGAGCACCTGATTTTGAATATCTCTGCGATAATATAATGCGTCGGCTCCATTGGATTCTTGTCCCTTGTGTAATGAAAAATGCTTTTCTGTATGATTACATATCCAGGGTCTTAAACAGGCACTGCTCAATTTAAGCTTGTGCTGGAATATATGTATATTGAATTTGCTATCCACATTTGCCAAAGTTTGGGATTTCCTCAAGAATATAGATACATTCCTGGTTGGCTAACTGCTGCTAGAACTGTCAATATCATTTTAGACATATACTTGTTAAGATCTGCAGCCTATTTTACTTACATTTTTGCTATGTATCTGTTAAACATATAAAATGCTAATTATTTTATACCATGTCATCATTTAAACAGTCTCTTCAGCCCACTATTAAACAGCTTTTGGGAAATGTTCTACTGATATTAATGAAATTTACTCCTAAATAAGGAGAGTTTTCAGTTGTTATTAAGACCCATTTTGTGGCAATAAGGGCAGATAAATGCTGACCTTTACTGTATCTATGGATATCCACCCCACCACCTTGTTTAAGGTGACACAAGCCCTCCTGGGGAAGGGGGAACTCTGAAGTTTACCTACAGGGTCATGTGGAGGATCAAATCATATATTGGACAAAATCACTCAAATTCATTCACAGTTGAACATCAACTTTAATACAGGTCCAATGGAGATGCCTGGGATACAGTCTTGCCTGGTTATCTGGGAATGGTTTTAACCTGCTGGGGCTGAGGAAGTGGACGGAGTCCTTAGAACTGTGAACTCAGACACCTGCTCCTTAGATCCATGCCCTCTTAACTAAGGCTGACTGGGGGCGGGTGTTGTGAGGTTGGGTTTTACCAATGGTTATTGCTCTCTGAGAGAGGGGATCATTCTGCTGCCCCTTAAGGGGGAAATTAGTTGCCTCTTCCTCAAGAAGCCATTGTTAGATGCGACCATACTAGACAATTTTCATTCAGTGTCTAACTTTGCTTTTTTAGGGAAGGTTGTGAAGTTGGTTGTGAAACAGCTTTAGCAAGCCCTAGATGAAGTGGATTATTTGGATCTTTTCCAATCATTCAGGAGGGCCTTTGCACAGCTTTGTGTTGTGCACCAATTGTACCTTTTCCTGGACCATGAGACTTTCTCAATTACTCAGTTCTTGGTCACTTCCATAGTAGATTACTGCAACATACTTTATATTGGGCTGCCCTTCAAGAGCATCTGGCAGCTTCAATTGAAAGAGAATGCAGCTGTGCAGACATTTATGTGTGCCCCTAGGATGTGCTTCATGAGTTGCACTGCTTCCAGTCTACTTCTGTGTGCAATTCAAGGTGCTGGTTTTGACTTTAAACCTCTACACGGCATGGAACCAGATTAAAGACTGCCTCATTATGATTACATCTGCCAATTCCATTGATGGAGTAAGGGTGCTGCAGACCCTGTCTGCTAGGGCAGTGTTTCTCAACCTGAGCAATTGTAAGAGGGGTGGATTTCAACTTCCAGAATTCTCTAGACATCTTTCAGAACACAGAAGATGTACCTTTTCTGTTGTGGCTTCTGTTGTGGATCTGGAACATTATTCCCCTTTAAGTGAGATTGACTATATCCTGTTAGCTTTCTAGAAAACATTTAAAGTGTGTTTTTTCCCCAGCAACCTTGGGAATCCTATGGTCGTTTTATGATATTAGGTGACTGTTATTCTCCTGTTACTTTGATTTCTTCATGTTTTCATTTTGATTAATGGTCAGTGTTTTAAGATTGGTTATGTTGTTTTGTTGCTGTGGTTCCCTTCCACCCAGAGTACATCATGTGCGATTGGAGGCTAAATACTGGAGAAATAAATAAATGAGTGTATTGAAATTGTAATTTTAAATAATCATAATAGTTAAATAACCAAATCTAATTGAACTATAATTTGAAATAGAAATTAGGTAAAGGTAAAGGTTCCCCTCGCACATATGTGCTAGTCATTCCCGACTTTAGGGGGTGGTGCTCATCTTAGTTTCAAAGCCGAAGATCCAGTGCTCTCTGAAGACGTCTCCGTGGTCATGTGGCTAGCATGACTAAATGCCGAAGATGCATGGAACACTGTTGCCTTCCCACCAAAGGTGATTCCTATTTTTCTACTTGCATTTTTACATGCTTTCGAACTGCTAAGTTGGCAGAAGCTGGGACAAGTAACGGGAGCTCACTCTGTTACTCAGCACTAGAGATTTGAACCTCTGAACTGCCAACCTTTCTGATCAACAAGCTCAGCGTCTCTGCCACCGAGCCACCATGTCCCAGAAATAGAAATTAAAGATAGCAATATTGATTTGGGCTCTGTTTTACTGGGGGTGGTGGTGGTTGGTAGTTAAAGAATGGGAGTAGATGCCTCTGCTAGGCAGGTTTTCCTCACCCCATCTTTAAATTTAGTTAAAGATCATGCCTAATGATTGTGATTTTGGGCTATTTTCAAGTATTGGGGATATTTTAATGGTGGACTGAAGTAGCTTGGCTTTCAGAGATCTCTCACTCCCAATTTTCACCATTAAAATATTGTTTAAAAATAGACATCCAGGAACATTATTATATCATTGGATGGCTTTCAACAGCATAGTATAAGTTGGAAAGCTGAATTATACATTCTAATCTTTCCAATGCTGTCTATTCCTGCAATAGATAAAACAACCATATAATACAGAAGTGGAAAAGGGGGACAAATGCTATTTCTTTTTCTAAAAATACTATATTAGTGAGCAGTGGTCTGAACAACAGCAGCCAGAGCACAGATGGAACAAAATTATTGATTCTGGAAACTCTCCACTTATGCATATTGCCTTGGTACAATAAATTATTTTCTAAATTATTTGGTAAGTCGGATATATGAAACACAAGAAAACAAAATATATTTCCCACATTTTTATAGAAAAACAATTTTTGTATTACTTTACAGACAGCTTTATTGCCAACTTCTTGACAAAAAACATTTTTAATTGATGTACATGCTAGGTTTCCATGATAGCTTGTTAACTATCTAATATTAATTTTGATTGATAACTTGCCCTATTCCAAATGTCCTGGAATCTGTACAGATGGCTGAAGAGGTATATTTGAAAATCAGTGTGGATAGAAAACATAAAAATGGAAAGTGACATTTAATCATTGATTTGCTGGGTATTCTAACACAAACTAGTTGCAAAATTTATAACTAGTAAACATACTTAATGGATTTACTGGAACTGTCTACCTGCTAAAACCCAAAATTTTGAGGTAGGAATGTTTGAAGGACTGTTGTACTCTTCATTGATCTTCGGTGTATTTTTCTCCAAGCAGTGGGCTGAGATGTTATTAAATATTATATTGGATGTTTGCTTGGAAAAGGTTTATCTATTTGATTCTATTACACTGTAGTTTTATATATATATAAATACATACATACATACACATACACATATACACATACACATATAATATATATATATATATATATATATATATATATATATATATAT